CCAGCGGGGCGGCCGGAGAAGCGGTCGGGCAGGCAGGTGTCAGTGGGAGTGGAAGGGAGGATCGGGGAGAGGCGTGATCGGGGCAGGTTGAAGTAGCCATGATGATAAATAATGTATTGAGTGTCTCCTTATGGACGCGAGAGGTTATTTGTCAGAATACTTTGTATAACTGCTCCTTGTATTTTGTCTTTTTCTTTTAAAGGATTCGTGTTAGATAGTTTTGAGTTGTCTGAACGTGTAGAAATGTTGGCAGTGATCAGAAACTGGCAGGCACACAGCTAATGAAAAAGTATTAAATAGCAATCTTATGTAATACTGAATTTTCCATGATGACCTTGAAATCTTTGGCCACGGAATGGTAGGCAATGTTTTTGTACGTCGGTGCTCCGAACGATGTCTGTGTTGGGCATTATCTGCCCGACTGGTTTTTCAGTTTCCCTTTAGAGAAGTGCCAAGTAGCCTAAAAGCTCTGCGTTGAAAGCATGTGATGGAGATACAGACCAGGGAGTCGGGAAGGAAGTTCAATTACTTGGATATAAACAGCTTGAGACAGCAGTAGTACCGAGAAGAGAAAAGTTAGACCTGCTGGCTGGGTGAATGTAGGTACTGGGATACCAACCTGAGGTGTAGGTTGAAATGTCAAGAGGACTAGAGTTTCCTGAAGTATCTGGTAATTTTGAGAGTAAGAATTACTGTCGTATATCAGATCACTGACTTTCTCTGTTGTCTAGTCTGTGATATCATCTAGCCCTAGGTGCTTAAAAACTAGCTGTAGGCCAGCACTTAGTGAAAAATTTAAGGGCTTCTTAATTTAAATAAACTAAAAACATGAAAAGGTAAATTTATCAGCTAGTACCTGGCTTGTATTGTTTTAAATTCCACATAACATTTATTCTAATTCAGTTTGTTCTTTAAATTCTTGAAAATTACTAATACTTTCTTAATTGCTCCTTCGCTACAGAAATAAGGCTTAAACAGTTCTATCTGCATGGTAGTTCTCCTAATGAGTGGCTGATAGAAAACAGCTGACAAATAGGAAAAGCTCTTGGATTAAGGGTGGTATTTTTTTTGTGTTTTGCATTTTCCTCCCCTATACCTCCCATGTTTCAAAAGTAGTGAGTTGTAAAGAATGTCTTACCTCTGTCAGTCAGGATGTTTAATCCTCTCAAGTCTTAGGCTTCATGTTTACCTTGTGCCACTTTTTAATGAAGTGAGTTTTGCTGCTTCGGAGGAAGGATGGTTATCCAGATAGTTGAGATGCTTACAATATCAAACTCAAGTTTCCCTGTTGCACTGTAGCCTCCTTTGGTCAAGACATTTAAAACCACAGAGTATATCTGGACTGATAAAAGAAAAAGGGCTATGGAATGAGCTCAAGCACTGGATTGATCTGTGATTATCTACAATGCCCATTAGCTCTTTTCTTAGCTCAGTTTTGGACCTGCTTTCTCCAAGACAAGTTCCTCTAAATCTTATTTTGCACTAAGTAGTACAGATCTGGGCCGATCTGAACTGGCCACAGGACCAAAGGTTGATTTGCAGTGCTCTCATATGCACTTCGCTTTAAAAGAGAGAACATGAGACTTTATTGTACAGAAATGGATTACAGAAAAATACTAAAACATGCAGGACACTTAAATACTATATTAAGTTCATACACTGAAAATAGTAATGACCGAGGATATTCCTTGCATATGATCAGATCACTACTTCAGTGTTCTGTTTCAGAGAATATTTATTGTTGTGTTGTGAGGGAGCAAGTAAGTATGCTTATTTTATACCATCCATTACTTTGTATTAGTTTTAATAAGTTACTGAGAATGAAATTCAATTCTTTGTGCTTTTAGTCATGTTGCGTTTAACTTAAAATCTACTGTGAATTCCTTCCTCCATTTCCAAGTGCTTTGCCACCCAAATGCATAATTTGGTAGTAACTACACTGCACATATACTGCGAATTTGGGATGTTTCTGACAATCAGAGATGAGTTGCAACAATCCCACTTTTCCAAGTTGCTGAGCCAGCTTTTGTACCTCCACTGTGCACTAGTGCTGTGTGGACACTGATCGTGCTGACATCTCTGTTTTCTTACAGACCTTTTCTGGTGTTAATAAAGACTGAGCTTTAGCAAGAACAGTGCTGCTGACAGTATGACAAGTGTACAATGAGTAGTAAATTAATTAACTATTCAGTTGAAATGTAGCTCTGACTTCAGGATTTTACTTGATGTCTCTTCTTGTTATAAAAGAATTATTTGAAATCTGTAAATTATCTTCGCTTTAGCCTCACCTAGAGTAAACAAATCAATATACATGGGGCTAATAGAATTGCAGTTGTGTTCACACAAATGAATTGTTTACTTGAAGTCTTAAGAAAGGACTTTATGCACGATTGGGTATACAGGCACTAAAAGTCTCAAATCACTAAATTTTGCTTATATAGAAGTAACTGTGATGATAGATAAAATGTGCCTTTCTCCGTTTTCTAAACATTTTCTGTGTTTGCCTACCTACAATTCTCAAATCAGAGGTCTTTGATGTTAAATTTTTTTCACCTTTATGGTCTTCTTGAAAAGTGGATTTTTCAGTAGTAAATACAAGCATTGACATAAGATGATGTAGTTGCCGGGTTCTTTTGCTCCAAATAATTCAGTTACACATGTCTAAATGGTTCATGTATAGATCATAAAATATATTGCATGATTAAGTATAATCTTTTGTGTAAGGACCCAGCTATATTCACAAACTCGTGAGAGTTCTTTCCAGTTATTTTTATTATAATTGTTTGCTGTCGTGCTTGTCAGAAGCATGCTTATAAATTCAAAACTTGATGTCCTTGGAGGTTATTAAATATACACTTATGCCAGTGTATAAATCAAAGATGCTGAACCTGTTGGCAGTAAGTGACTGTAATCAATTGGAAAAATCTCCTACAGCCCAAGATTCATTTTTCTGCTACGTGATGGGGAGCGAACAGTGAGCATAGTGGCTTGAGTCACTGCTGATCTCTCCATGTGGGTTGCCTTCTCGGGCTGTCCCTGTCATATTCTTAGCTATGTCTGTCTGTCATTGGACTGAAACCACACATCTTGTCTTTTGCATGAAATCGGATCCTGTCACATCATGAGAACAGATGCGTTCCAGATGACATGGCATTTCTGTTGTGTGATGCAGATGCATCAGTCATATAAGTGCTGTCTGCATTTTGATTATAAAGGGTGTGGGAGTAGAGCACAGCATTTCATCTTTGCCTCTTTAAAAATCTTTTAATGACCTGCACTTCCTAAGTTTCTCTGGATTTGTTGGACTAGAGGAAAGATATTTTCCAGATTTTGTATATATATATTTTTTTTTTTTACTTAGTTGGTAATTAGACTAAAGCAAGAAGAGACATTAGATAAACTTAAATGTAGGTACTATTTTGGGATTTTATTAAAAGTTTGGATTTCAATAATTCTTTTTTTCTTTACTGATTTACTTCCTTCTTTTCATCCATTATATTTGTGGAGACTAATCCAGTCTCTTAGCCTTTGTTGTATTGGCTTGGTAAGCCAAACCTACATCTCTCTAGGGAAAAAATCAGTAACTTTCTGCACACCTCTTCCTGTTCCGGTGCAGCTTCCTTGAGTGTGGCTCAGCATTGTGTGAGTTCTCACCAGAGCTGCACACAGGGGCATTAGTGCTTCTGTATGTGCAATGGCAGCGTTTTTATTTTTGCACTTGGATTTTACTTACCCCCAATGTTTTGTGTAGCTTGATATTGTGATTGACAGATGTCTCCTTTCTTTCAGCCATCTTACACAGAGAATCATGGTTTTGCTTGAAAATATATACTCTTTAATTTTTATATAATATCACATTTTTGTTGTTCATGGTACAGTCTTTTCTAGTATAATTACCTGATTTTTCTGAATTAACAATGCCTCTCATGGCTGCCAGCAAAAAACTAGATCACTGGCATTTTTTACATTGTATGTTGTAAGCACTATCTTAGTCCAAGAATGATTTATATTTTCTGCATTTGGCCAAGACTGAGAATCTGCATACCATTAAAACAATGATTTTACACAGTTTAGAATTCAAATAAACCTACCATATTCTTTTCTGCCCTTCAGTTGTTGAAATATATGAGGCAGTTTGAGGAATACATTCCAAAACAGACCTAGAACCTGCAACCTTTTGTACATTTTGGTACTTTCAATTATTTTTCACCTGGGGAGCAAGGAGTGTAAAACAAATTGTCTTTTCTTACTCTATAAACACTGTAAAGGAAATAAGTAATTCCCTGTTTTCATTCTGCAAAGCACAGCTTTAACTGTTCAAAGTATTTCCCAGTTCTGTGTATTGATGTTAGCTGAAGTTGATCAAGATTTGTTTAAATATGTTGAGTGCTTTCTCTTAAATTATTCAAATAGAAACGTACTGTTTGTTGGTTCAGCCTTTATTTAAATAGACAAAATGTTAACTGAATTTTTTAATACCTTAGAGATGTTTTTGGAAAAGTTAAATTTTTTATGTTATTTGTTTACTCCTCTGTTTGCTAGTGATCTTTAAGATGAAAGTTTTAATATCAGGCATGTCCATGTTCTTCTGATGTTTAACTTTTAAGAAATAAATGTCTTTGATGTAACTAGATTTGATGGTTGTAGATTCCTTGCTGTCTTGGAATCATGTCAATGCGAATGTTATTAGGAGATAACCATAATATATCAGATGCTGTCCCAAGCAAATAGATAGATTTCTGCTAATACATGCAGTATGGTTATCATTACGAAGACATTTTATTCTAAGGTAAACATCGTTTGGCTTTATTGATGAATATTTTTATTGATTTTTATTTCATTTTGCAGTAATGGAACAACTGCAGGATCCAGTTATGCAAGAAGATGCAAATATTAAAGCTATTAGTGAAGAGTACAGGAAAGCCTTTATTTTTATCAATAAAGGACTGAATACAGATGAACTGGGTCAGAAGGAAGAGGCAAGAAGTTACTATAAGAAAGGGCTTGACCACTTGCTCCGAGGAGTTAGCATTCCATCAGAGGGTCCTGCGTGTGTAGGGTCCCAGTGGGAGTCTGCCAGGCAAATGCAGCAGAAGATGAGGGAGACCCTGCAAAATGTTCGTGCTCGCCTCGGCAGTCTAGAGCAAAACACCCCACCTGTAGAAGCAAGTCCTGCTACGATGGATGCCCCTCCTGGGGTGCCCAAGTTATATCCATCCATTCCTTCCAAAGAAAAGCCAGAAAGACCACCTGCCCCTAATTCTTTGTTTGCACCAAGTCAACCATCCGCAGCAGATGGAGGTGTTGCAGCTGTGAGCCAGGGTCAAATTCCAGCTATGAGTCCATCCTCTGGAAAACCTCTCTGTCTGCCAAATGAAGCACCTCCTGCCTATACTCCTCAAGCTACCAATGGCCATTTTACTGTGTCTTATGGCACAGACTCTGGAGAGTTTTCTTCTGTAGGTGAGGACTATTACAACAAGTGTACTCAGCCACCTCCCCTGGAAAACCTGGGAGTGGATGCAGACGAGCTGATCTTGATTCCCCAAGGAGTACAGATATTTTTTGTGACTCCTGATGGGCAGGTTAGTGCTCCTTCATATCCCGGATATCTACGCATTGTGAAGTTCTTGGATACAGATAGTGAAGCAGCTCAGAATCGTCCACCTGCATTTCTTCAGGTAACAGGAAAATAACTTTTGCCTTTAATTAAAATTTCAAGAACTGTCATAAAACTCTTAACAGGAAATCTTCCTAAGTTCTTGCTCTTCAAAGCCTAAATATCTTTGTGATAATATGAAGAATGTTATAGATGTTGCAGAAATGGTTTTGTATATACTTTTATGACTTCTTCTGTGAAAAGTACCTCTGTGTCTTCCCAAGGTTGCCAAGTGCTGACTGTTCTGGTGAATCCCAGTTTCTAAAAGAGGTGACTGAATGCGTCTTTTCATTTCATAAAATTAACTTCTCTTCCTTCACATAGAGAAGACACGTTGATTCATGTACTGTAACATGTCAGTGTCCATTGGGCTTGCAAACTACCCACTTCATTCTCATTTAGTGATAAGGTATTGAAGTTAGGGCGACTGATAATTTGGAATTTGAGGGCCCATGTTAGTACAGATTCTGAACTACAAATAAAAAAGATGCATTATCTGTATTTTTTCAGTCCTTGCTTGCTTCATGTGGGCATGTTCTGTAATGAACGTTGTGGATTCTGACTTTGGATCTCCTTGTGTTTGCTAAGATTGGCTCTTGGAAGTCTCATACAGAAAACATACTTCCTGGTTTTGAGTCTGCTGGTTCAGCTCCACCTGTGTTAGCAGTCTTCAGCAGTAGGCCAGTGACAGCCATACATTTTATTTGTCCTATCATATAAACCTGCCCTGAGTTCTACAGGATGGTACAGGCACTGTGAATCCTGACTTGTTTGGCAGTTCTTTTCATTGACTTCTATACCTCAAGACTAGACCTCAGTTAAGAGGGTACCAGCCTGAATTACAGTCCTGTGAAAATTAATATTTTCTCTATGTTAGACTGTCAGAACTAATGAAGAGTTGTGTTTCCAGAGTCATGTGGGTTGTAGTTTTTTGGGATTGTTTTTCTTTTTTTGTTTTTTAAAAGATGGCATAAGACTTTTTATTTTTCATCATAGAATCATAAAATAGTTTGGGTTGGAAGGAACCTTAAAGATCATCTAATTCCAACACCTCTGCCATCGGCAGGAAATCTGTCACTAGAAACTTTATGGAAAATCAAGTTTGTGGTGCTTATCACTATGCTCTGTCTGTCTTTCTTTTTAAAAGCATCTTTTAATTCCTTCATGTACTTGTCTTTTCTAGGTTTGTGACTGGTTGTATCCTCTAATGTGTAACCAGTCTCCTGTTCTGTGCTGCAGTACTGGAGTCTACATGTTCCCTGACACAATGTCCCAGATACCAGGGTCCTATGTAGGAGTAGTGCTGTCTTCAGAACTCCCAGCAGCTGACAGAGAGCTGTTCGAGGATCTCTTAAAACAGATGTCTGACCTTCGAATCCAGGTAAATTTCTGAGGTGCCTCTTTATATCAATAAGGAAAGGTATAAGTCATCAATATATTCTCACATTTACATTTAGTTGTGTAAAACTGCAAATTTTTGTGTCTTGCTTAGTAAACTGACCAGTGAGAAATAAAGTAGGCCAAGATTAAGCAGCTGTGTAATGAAACCGTAGATCCTGTGACATGGGAGTACAGAATTTCTAAAATACTGATTTGTAAGCACAGACCATAGTTTGAGACCATTTTGTATATTTTCTCTATTTTTCCAAAAGAGAACATAGAACCCAAAATAAAATTTGGGGTTCAGGAGAAAGCATGTTTTTCCCTGTGTGCGCACACACACATGCACACAAATTATGATGGATGATACCATTCTTGGAATATGGTGCCTAAATGTGTTTACAGTTCAAAAATGGTAAGCTGCCTCAGAGAAGATCTGTGAGAATAGTGTGTACTTCAAAAATCTGCCTCAAATAGGATCTCAGATAAATCTGGTGCCTTATTGTAGTAAGATATTGACAGGTAGAGAAAACAGGGAAAAAACCCCATAATCTAACAAAGGTGTGATAACATACACTGACTGGAAACAAGGTGCAAAATGTTATTGTAAGAGTACTGGAGCACCATTTCAGGAAGAGTGGTAATCCATAACTACTTAAGAGCTCATAGCAAGATTATGTGTTTTCATAAAGAGAGAGAATTTTGTTGAATCAATCAAGAGTTGAATGCAGTGATGATGGACCAGTTTGGAGCATGCCATGAGGGTGGAGTTCTGTTATGGTATAAATCCTGTCGAGTTTAGCAGGCAATTTCACTAGCACAGGTGGCCACTAATTTTTACTTAAAAGGAGAAAGTACTGCAGAATTATGGGCTATTTCAGTGCAGGACTCAATGGATAAAATGCTGTCATTTTTCCTGCGTAGTAGGGGTTCAAATTTGATATCTCATTAGCTCCTTATTGTCCTAAAACTTCGTGTTTTTGTTAATGTTCCCTGATACAATGTCACAGGTGCCAGGATCCCATGAGAGATTAGGGTTATCTTCAGAGCTCCCAGCAACTGAGAGAGCGCATTTTGAAGATAAATTTAAACAGATGTCTGGCCACAAAGTCCAGGTAAACGCCAGGACAGTGATTCCAAAATTTATAGTAAACAAAATAAAATAGTCACTGGAATGCATGTTAGAACAGCTGATTTGACTGACAGCAGCAATGTATGCTGTGTTCTGTGGCTGTTTTTTTGTTGGGTCGTTTTGGCTTTTTGGCTTTTTTTGCTTTGGTTGGTTGTTTTTTGTTAAGAGCAATTGCAGTTACTGCAGGCTACCACATTTTTCAAGTCAGCATATTTCAGGAGTTTTGAAAACTGTGATATAGCACAAATATTTCAAAGCCTAGTCTGATAGCCATTTAATGTGTCTGTTTTACATGGTATTCATGAGGATCTAGTTGACAACTATATTTAATATAATTATAGTAGTGAGTCACCTGTCTTATTAGAGAATCCATTTCTGTTCCTTAGTATAGTCCTCAGAAGTCTTGTTGGCAGTTTTTCTACATAGTGACCCAAACTGTGGTGTAACTAAATAAAATCTGGAACATAGTCTGGGTCTTTTAATTGTTTATTTGTTTGGTTGGTTTTTACCTATAGCTGTTTATTGAGGTAATTTGGTCACATGCTGAGAACCTTTCTTGAACACAAGATTTCACACTGCTGTCAAGCAGTAATTGTGATATGTCAGTGATACAGTGTTAACCTCCTGGGTAGCAACCTTCTAAGTTTTAGTGTACTCTTTTCTGTTAATGTTAGTTTGGTTTTGTTTTACTGCAGCAGTCAGCTATGGGCAATAGCCTGCCTTTATGTCCAGTAAATGTTTCAGGGGAATTCCATGTAATAGCCAATATTCTATATTGTGTATTCTGTTCTGCCAATGGGTTTAATCTAAACAAAAACTTCTTTTCTTTCTATCTGTCATTAACTAGCAGTGTTTTCAATCTTTGAAATGGTTTGGGTTTTCATTTACTTTTACATTGGAAAAGTTCTAAAAATCGAATCTTAACAAAAACCTAGATCTATTACAATTTTTTTGCTTTTTGTAATTAAAGTTTCATTGTACGTTGTCTGTGGTCTGTGTAAAGTGATGTTACACTTTTTAGAAACACTAAATGGCCTGTGTTGGTGGTTGCTGTGTTTGAATGATTAACATCTACTCCAGAAACTGTAGTGTTTGACACGAAATCACACAGAACCTGTCCACCCGGCTTTAAATAGGGAGCAGTATCATGCACAGCATTGTGTGTGCCTGGGCTGTGCCAGTCTGCAAAAGCATAAACAGCACACAGCATGAATAATGTCCTTTATTTTTTAATTTGGGAGGAAAGGATGAGGAAAAAAAACAATCAGGACAGCTGCATTCCCTTAGTGCAGCTGGATTCTCTGACCAAAGACTGCAGTTCTTATGCTGAATAACAACAAAGTGGACTTCTCTCTAAGATAAAAATGATAGATGGGCAAGTTTCTTATCTGTTTTGCTAGTGAACTTGTACTGTAAATTTTTCCTACTCAGCTCCTTGACCATATGTCTATATTGGCAAGCAAATCTTTTCATTGTAGCTGGATGAAGAAAGTGTAGGAAAAATGCTGACCTATCTGATAAGCTTTTCTGGAGTGTAGCATTTTGGTGCAAAAGTAATTGCATCTTAAATTTCCCTTGAGTTTCTCCACACTTCCCCAAGGCATGCACAACATTAATATTATTTGATAATGGATGTTGTATGATCCTGATGATAAGCTGCGAAGTAGATTCTCAGATGTTTTGCTTTCACTTGTCAGCCTTCAGAAGCCTCTAGTGATGCAGTTAACTTGCCTCAGACTGTACATATCCAACCACAACCTGAAGGAGCAGAAAATCAGAAAGAGTTACCAGAGTGGAGCGAGAAGGTTGCCCATGGTATCTTGTCAGGTACTGTTGTAATAAGAGCACTGTATTGAATATAAACCTCTGTGAGTGACATTTAAACAGAACAGTATTTTCAACTAAATGCGTGTGTGTTGGTAGAAGCTGAGTGGTCAGAAGTAGTTGTTCACTAGTTCCAGTTGTGGTCATCTAAAGGATGCCTTGATGAGCTTTATAAAAACAGTGCAGAATATATATCCATTGCTAACAGTCTTGTTCATTGCAAATCAATCTGGCTCCTCATGTGACACTGTTAGGATATCACCCCCTGTGATTCAGACCATTGTGACAGAACAATTTTACCCCTGTATGAGCAGGTATATTACAGCAGGCACCTGTTGTGATTTCTGCAGATAAACATGTGGGGTTTTTTCCTCTGAGTGCCTTTGGAATATACTAATGACCACCATCTGACTGTAATCTGCAAGGAGGGCTAGAGGATTTGGTTGCATGTTTTCATGAGTGTTAATAGCATTGAGATGCACCATTCTATCACTTCTCACCTATCTGGGGCTTGGATATATGTTAAAAAATTATTATCTGTATTAAGCTGACATTTGGATGAAGGCTGGCTGTATTAAATAAAATTAATTTCAAAAGCAGTGGTTTAGGAGCAGAAATTAATGTAGGAATTCATGCTGGACCATTCAGGGAAGAGTATAAATGCAGACTATGTAATCAGGACTGTTTCTAAAGTCAGTGTTGCAGAGGTAGAGGAGGGATAGCTGTAGGAATCGTAATCTGTAAAATTGTACATTCTAAGAAAAGCAATTTTTGCCTTTTAGGTGCATCTTGGGTAAGCTGGGGCCTAATGAAAGGAGCAGAATATACTGGTAAAGCTATTCACAAAGGAGCTTCTAAACTGCGAGAACACCTTCAACCAGAAGAAAAACCTGTGGAAGTCAATCCAGCTGTAGCAAAGGGACTTCATGTAGCAAAACAGGCTACTGGAGGAGCTGTGAAAGTCAGCCAATTCTTAGGTAAAAATTTCCATCTCATAATATATATATTGTTTGCCTTAAATAATAAATACCTCGTAAAATGAGAGCTGGTTTCTCTAGCCAATTAACAGGTGGAGGAACTGTCCTGATGAAATCCAGAGAACAGTAGTTTGTGCCTAGTTACCTCCTGCAACAGACATGCTTCAGGATTAGTATTTATTACTTGGCCTCGAGATATCTTTTTCGTTCCTAAAACAATAGTGTGTATAGTCTTAAGTTTGACGTGCTTTTGAAAGTTTTAGACAGTTAATTTGAATATTGTTTCTTTCTTTTCTTAAGTTGATAACCATGTATTTTAAAAGCTCTCTTGTCACTGTATGTATTTTTAAACTCATACACCTGAAACAAATCTGTTTGACTACATATAAATTTCCAAATAGGAACGGTCTGGTGTTCAGAGGTGCTTGGCAACCCTAACAGCTCTCAGTAACTTCATTTCATTATTTAATTGCATATAATGTTCATATTTACTCAACCACGTTTTAAAGGAAATTGTGCTGGTTGTTATAAAACTACTTTGAAGAGCTGGAATGATTGTAAGAAAGTCTTCTAGAGAAGACAAGTCAGGAAAGCAGCAGCTTGTTCCCTATCTGCAAGTTGGGGATAACAAGGCAATGGAATCAGTTTCTTGAAATTTGAAGTGTGAGATGTGTATGTATTTCTTTTAAAGCACTTTTTAGCCATAAGACCAACCTTACTTGTTTCTTAATATCTGAAGCTGTGCAGAATCTGAAAAATAAGGTTGCTCTGTATCAGTTGGGTACTTAAGTGTGGATTAAAGCCTGTCTTTCAAATAAGCATATTTAAATAGAAGCAACACTTAAAACTTCAGTGAAGCTTTCTTCTAATTAGGAGTAAAGATTTTTAAGGAAAGATGTTCTGTGTTCTTACTAAATAATCTGCATGCCATTGCTTTATGGCAGTTGAAGGAGTATGTTCTATAGCGAGCTGTGTCGGAAGGGAGCTGGCTCCACATGTGAAGAAGCATGGCAGCAAATTAGTTCCAGAATCCCTTAGGAAAGATAAAGATGGCAAATCCACTTTTGATGGTGCTATGGTTGTAGCAGCAAGTGGAGTTCAAGGTAATAAAAATTCTTTATACTTTTTAAAATTGCATTATTTTCAAGTTGTGAACTCAAGCTGATTGTTTTTACAGGGTTTTCAACAGTGTGGCAAGGTTTAGAAAGTGCAGCGAAGTGCATTGCTAAAAGTGTTTCAACTGAGACTGTAAAAACTGTCAAATACAAGTAAGTTATATTTTTATTGATTTTATCTTCTATGGTACATTGTCATTCTGTTTGAATAATGGCAAAAAGGAGCTTATGAAAGTGCAGGGAAACTATCTGAAATACCTGCTTTGCTATAATTATGTAGCACATGATAAGGTGCTAAGTGCACACTAATGAGCATCTCCTGTAAGCAAAAATATGAAATGAGTGAATGACTGTGTGAAGTATTTTTTTAGCTCTCTTTTGTAGAAGTATTACACCTTCAGGCTGTCACAAATAATGTTCAGATTTCTATCTTCGCTCTACAGTATAATGTCATTATGAAAAAAGTTACTAGTTTAAACCTCTTGGCTCTAATCCTGAATTTTTGCAAACTTAGCTAAAGTTAAGAAAAATGAAGAACTTCATCTATCAGCAGGTCTAGCTATAGTGAGGAGGTACAAAAAAAAAGAAAACTGTGTAAGGAAATCTAAGGCATAAATAGCAATAATAGAACAGCCTCGACTTGCAAAATACAGATGTTCTTAGAAAAAGATAGTGGGGGAAGAGGAAAGTGACATTTGGGATTAAGATGATGTTTCTAAGATGATGAAAAGATGAAAGCTGAGTGTGCGCGTACTGGGAGATGCTATGGAGAAAAAGGGAATTGAAATAATTGTGAAAGATAGGAAATGCACGCCCTCAAAAAAGTGCAGTAGGTTTAATAGAAAGTGAGGAGTAAGCCAAAGCATGTAGGTTAAATTGAACAGGTGATAATCATAGCAAAAGAGATATTAAAAAGGGTTGGCTGAAGGTGCATACAGGCTCCTAGCAGAAGGTAACAAGATAAACATCAGCATACAGTATTAAACAGATTGGTGTTCAGGGTTGTGTTGTGATGCATTTCAAATAGAAGGCCAGATAGTGAAGTTCTAGTCAGTGGTGCTTTACTGCTAATGTTTGTTTTCAGTAGGTAAGAATGTCAGGAGGTATTGTACTGGTATTCATTTCACATAAATTCAAATTAATGTTTTTGTTTTAGATATAAAAACGGAAAATATGGAGATGAGCAGACAACAGACACTCAGTGAAACACAATAAGTAATTAGATATTGCAGCTAATTGCAATACAATGGAAAATTATATTTAATCTTTAAAACCTATCTTTATAATTGTATTAAAATTCTACATAATCTCTCTTTTGGAAGCTGTTTTTTGTCACTGACAAAGATTTCTGCCATTCAAAATACCAGTGAATGAGCCAAATTCCCCTTAATGGAACAACATTAAAGGAGCACCATCAAAGTGTCTCTAAATCAAAAAAAACTTGGCTAAAACTTAGCTACAATACCTTTGGAATTATATAGAGATGCTCATCATTTGCATGTTAATTGGAATCGGGGGAAAACATAGCTTCAGAAGTAATATTTCAAGTCCTATGCTACTGTCTTTTTTACAAACAATTCAAATAAATGCAGTATATAGCTGTGCACGACTTTTTACTTAAAAAAAAAAAGTTAATTATGCAATCGAGACTGGCAAACTAAAAAATTAGTTATCAGACATTAAGAAGTTGTTAGTTTTACTGTACTGGATAAACTAGAGTCTTGCTTTAAATGAGGTTACCTGTTTTACTGATATTATATACTGGATTATGATGATCCTGAGGTGAAAATAATTAATTAAATTGACAAATACTGCACTTTGCTGTGAGATTAATTCTGTGATCTGCAGATCCAGTGTTGGTGATTCAAGGCTGTTGCTCTATCAGAGAATTAAAAGCAAAACAAAAAAACCTACTAACTCTTTTTATTTGGTTTCATTCTTGGTTCCAGCCATATGCTCTGGCTGCTGAACTGATAATGTTATAGATTTTTGGATTCTTTGATATTCTGTGCTTCTCTCTGGCTTTATTTCGAGGTCCTCAAAGAATCTCTGGTCATGAAAAACATAGGGAAAAAGTAACTCTGCCGACTGCTGGCATTCTGATGCTGCCAGGAATACTTCCCTTTGGCCTGGTTTGTCTGACTGCAGTGCTCTCTGGGGAAATGTCTGGCTGCCCGGAACAGTTGGAGTTACTGCTCTCACTGTATTCTTGTCCTCTTTCAGTACTCAACTCTCTGTACAGTTGAGTATATTAAGTAGTTAATATGAGACTAATGACTTCGCCCTAAAGCATATGGAAGCTGGACCCACACCCCATGGGAGACACCAAAGGTTTTTATCTCTTCATAATTTTCATCATAGTCTCAAGATAGCTTTGTCAAGCCTTTTGGGGTTTTGTATGATGCAGTACTCCGGGTGGGGTCTCACCAGAGCAGAGTAAAGGAGCAGAATCACTGCCCTCAACTTGCTGGCCACATTGCTTTTGATGCAGCCCAGGATACGGTTGGCTTTCTATATAGAGGGTATAGGAATGTTATGTAAGGACTTGGAGGTTATTGCACTTCTCTCCCCTTCCCCTTCTTATGGTTCTATAGATAAGTCTTCTACTCTTCGACACTCAAGAGAAAAGAGGGAGAAAAACTGGAAGGTTTTTTGAGGAAAAAGGGCAGAAGCATATTGGTATTTTTAAAGGGTAATCCATCTGATAGAGGAACAGCCCTTACTCAAATGGCTTTGTAATTTCTAATTTTATTCTTAAGACATTCAGGCTCTGTGCTTATTATTTGTTCTTGGTAATGCCTAAACTTTCAAAAGAATTCCAGTGAAGATTAAAAAACTAAGTATACAAATCTACAAAACTGCTCTCTTTCTTTAGGTATGGAGAGGATGCTGGCCATGCTACAGATGATGCTATGAATTCTGCAATCAATGTTGGTGTGACAGCATTTAACATTGACAATATTGGTATCAAAGCTGTTGTAAAGAGAACTGCAAAGGAAACTGGCCATGCTGTGCTAGATGAATATAAAGTATTGGATAATGAGAAGAAGGGTAAAAAATGAAAGCAATTAAATATTTCTCAAAGCCTTACATTAGAGATGAAACTTCCTATTTACAAGTAACTGCATTGCTCATCTGCAATTGAACATAAATCACACTGTACTTTCCAAGCAACTGTTACTTAATTTGACATGAAAATGTAAAAATAGGGAGAGCATTCGTAGAAGGAAAAATGAAAGTTGTCAACTCCTTGTTCTGTATTGAACAAGAATTTTAAACAACTGGATCAGGGCTTTAGGCAGCTGGAAGATTATGAGTTTGCAGTTCATATACTTGCCTCTGTAAGCACTTTTTCAAAATAATATATGGAATAATAGATTAATATAGTAATACTATTGTGAATATTTTTGTAACACTTTATAAAGAAGGTGGTGATACTGAAAAAGTAGGATTACTAATTCTGGAACAAGTAGAATTATTAGTTTTGGGTTTATAACGATCCTTGAGTTAGTTTTACTAACCTAGCCTTGTCTTATTTAATATGCATTACTAAAATAAGTATTGGGTTTCATTGTTTTATAGAGAATTTATCTTTTCAGCTACCAAACAGCTAATCTTATCCAAAGTTCGTGTTAGGAGAAATGAAAGATGAACCTCAGGTAACTAGGCAGTTATTCCCTTTTAAACTTTTTTTTTTCATCCAGCATATAAGTAAACCAAAGATACCAAGCATTTCTTTTAAAAGACAGTATTTACAGATCTAGAAAAATGCATTTTCCGCTTGACTCCATAAGGAATATACAAAGATTCTTTGAAATTCAGATTTTTATGTAGAGAGGAGAAGTATGTTTTTGCATAAATTATTTTTTTGTGAAAATATTCTGTAGAATGCACTAGGAACTTCTGTGCATTCTGTACTTTGCGGGCAATCCAGAAGGATTCAGATTATATATCATGGCCTCCTAATGGAAGACAGTATATATTTGAACAAATAGTTCTAACAGTCATCATCTTTATTCCATTAAATTCATAGTTGCACAAGGGTATGAAGTCTTTAAAAAGGGTACAAAGGCAAGCCCTTTTAATGGAGAGAGGTGTGCAGAATAGATGCAACTGTGTAGATTTGCAATCCTCTTTGTAGCCCAGTGTAAAATAACTCAGTATGTCAAATCCTTGAGATGCTTTGGCACCACTACTTATTTAACAGTTCACTATTGAGTTTTAAAGCTGCTACATATTCTAATATTGGCTGTACCTGCAACAAACAGAATGCCATCAGTTTACAACTTATCTCCATTTCATGTAAATGGAGAAAATGACTGAATGGTTGTTAGCAAGTAATATTTGTATCAGATTAAAAAAACCACAGTAACAACTGTCTATTAAAATGGTAATAGGTGCACATTTTGTGGTAGCTGCTGTAGGGTGAGAAATGTGAAACACAAGGATCTAACCACTTGAAGTCTAACTTTGATTTATGGAAATAAAGATGAAATTAAAATTGGTTAATCTGTTCTTGACCTTTTTATGACAGGAAGCTTCTGTACGGATCAGTGAGTGGAAAAACTAGGACTTTTGAAGTAATAAAATAACAGTACTGGGGTATGTCTGCAATACAAACAAGCTCATCAATTAAAATATTTCAAACTAAAAAAGTCCATCTAAAGTACACTGCAGCAATTTCTGTTACTGTAGTCTGCCACTTGCCAGCATGTGTAACCAGTTATAGGCTACTAAAACTTCACACTAGCAAAAGCATTTTTGTTGCTATGAACTGCATTTACAATAGGGATATATTATTTGGGTCTTCCTTCTCCCACTTTGGTTTTGCGTGTAGCTCATGCTCTTTTAAAACAACAGTTAAGATCAAGGTCTTCAAGAGACCAAGAGTAAAAAAAGATTTAAATGCCATCAGTATCAGGCAAGCATTGTTGTCCTGCTCAACCTGCTGTTGTTCTGTTCATGTGTACCCAGTCTTTCAAAATAGTATTTATCTACTTTGAGACTTTCTTTAATGATGCCTACCCCATTTTACACTTTGTAAAGTGATACATCCATGATCTTCCTTTTTACATTGTTCCAAAACTTAGTTAATTCTCACAGCTGAATATGATGCTACCAAACTTACTTTGCTTCAGCTGTGACTAGTTTGGCCCAGGGTAGCAAATCCATAGGCTTCTCCCCACTTCCTCTACCATATGCAAGTCTTCTCACACTTAGGGCCTTACCTCAGCTCTCCCTTTTATACACTAAGCTCCCTAAAGCTCATATCTTAGGTTTGCTTTCTATTCACAGCTCGATTTTGTTTCTTTGGACACTGAACATCTTTTGATGTATGGCAATCCTAGAAGAAGTCATAAGACTCCTTACTGTGTACTGCATAAACTACTACCCTATTCCTAATGTATTCCTATTTCCAAATTTATTCAAAGTCTTTTCTGCTATAATATTGATGTCGAATCTTGTCTTGGGAAGATTACTTTTAATGACCTCCAAGTCATTCTAAGCTACTGCTGTCTATGGCATTTTCAGCATTCTGTAGATATAAACCACTGTTTTTACCTCAAGTCTAAACCCTTGTATTTGAATAGATTACCCTGGATTCCAAGAGTGTGTTAGTCTGTTTAATGCTGGTTTAAAACCAACTTACAACAGTTTATTTCTTAATGTTCCTTGACTGAATCTGTAATCCTTTAAAAAGAATTGGTAAAAGTACCTTCCACTAAAACATGCTGACCAGCTCACCACAGAATGGTGTTGGAAGGGACTCCAGAGGTCTGTAATCCACCCTCCTTTGCAAAACAGGTCCAGCTGGAGCACAGTATTCTGCCAATTCTGCTCACATTTTGATTATCTCCAACAGTGAAGACTTTATGGCCCCTCTGGGCAACCTTTGCCCAGCTTGACTCTGGTAAAGGTAAATATTTCTCCCTTATACTAAGCCAAAGATTTTCATATGCGTTTTGGTGCATTGATGCATATCCTTCCATAATGCACACTGGAGGAAAGTCTGACTTCTCAGTCTTCTTTACACTTTCCTCTTACATAGCTGTTTACAGCACTAAGATCTCCTTATGCATCTCTTCTCCAGACTGAACATAGGCCACGTGTGCCAGTCCCTGACCTAAGGCAGCCCTTGGGAGTTCAAAGCTAAGCACTCCAGCATGTGGTCCCGTAAGTGCTGAAGAGTGGAAGAACCATCCCCCCAGGCTCTTGGCCAAGCCCTTGCTGAGGCAGCCCAGGCTTGGCCTTGTTTGCTGCAAGGTCTTGCTGGCTCATGGCAGCTTGTTCACCAGAGACCCCTGTGTCTTTTCCTATGAAGCTGCATTCTGGTTACTGCCTCCAGCCTGTACTGATCCATGGGTTTTTCCCATCCCAGATATCGGGCTTCACATTTGGTTTTTGTTGAATTTCCTTAGGTGCCTTTCAGCAGCCTGTTTTTCCAGGCTGTACACTCTGCTGTGAATGGTAGCCCTACCTCGCTGCATACTAACTACTCCTCTCAATTCAGCAGCAGCAGCAAACTTGCTGAGAACGTGCTCAGTTGTGGTGGTTTGGAAAAAAAATTTCAAAAAGCTAATTTCAAATGTTTTTCTACAATTTATTCTAATGTGTGTAGAGAAGTTTTTTTCTTTCAGGCCACAGCTCTTCCAAATTAATTTCTGTGGCACTTGGAAGTATCTCTTATCTTTAAGGCAGTAGTTTTGATTTGTTATAGCTGGAAAATCTCTCTTCATGAGAATGCAGGGGGTCTCTCTTTCACCCCTACTCGCTCACCATGGTCGATACCATGGAGTGTAGGGAGTTAAAGCTTAAAGTCTTTATCCTCCATTCCGTGGGGGGTCCCTATCCCCGGGGATCAAGCTCCCTGGGTCAGAATGGTTTTTTGGGTTTTTTTTCGGTTCAGTTCTTACCCCGAAAACGTTCCAGCAGACCTCTCTCTCCGTCTGTTTTGTTCTGTTCCTGCTGCCCCTTCGCAGGGGGCCTTTCTGCTTCGAGCTGCTGCGGGAGCTCGGGCTACTCCTCTGCAGAGGTTTGCTTCGTGGCTGCCTCCGCCTCAGGGTTCTAGCTGCC